ATTCATGAGCCTGCACTTCTCGACCCAGCCTCTGAAGTTTTGGACGGATGCTGAGGGAACTGCCGGTGAAGTAGAAAATTTGCAAGAGCACTCCTGTCCTGAGCCTGCTGTGCTTACAGCAACAGTCGGCTCTCATGCTCCAGACAAAAACCCACCCACCGGCACTGGCTGCGGAAGCACAGCATACGCGGCCGCAAATTAAATGAATCTGGCTGTTGCGGTCATGTCAGAATACATGGAGGACACGCGAGAAACCAGAAGCCCACGAGCGGAGCCGACTCGTAGTGACCCGAGTTGTTGGCACCAGCACCAAGCCTCTTCCAGCAGCTTGTCGGACTGAAGCGCTGCCATCTGCAGCTCTCCACCGCAAAGTGCCCGGGTGCCAAGAACCGAGTGCACGCAGTTCCCGAAAGGGGTTACCTAAATAAACCAAACAAATTCAAAAAACTTCTTGAAGGTCAGGCCGGAGGCAGGATGCACGTCATGCTTAGTCAAGCAGGTCAACCCCCAAGCCTTCACTTCCTCCGACGCCGTCGCACACCCCTCGAGGGAGCGTCTGAAGGATTTTCCGCTGAAGGCACCAAGATGAGGTGCAGCTGAAGATTTCCAGCCAAAGTGAGTGCCGCCACTTTGCGCAGGAGCCTGTTCAGCTGGGATGATGAACGTCCTTTGGCTGCAGCGCCAAGCCACACCGCTGAGTCCAACAAAACCACCACCCGTTTGCCATGGTGCTTGCGACTGCGGAGTAACCATCGCAAGAAAAGCACGAATGCCTCACCCTCTAGGGCATTGATGTGGCCAGGAAACTTCTTGCGCACGCTGAAAATGTCTGAGAACTCATCAAGACGGACATCTAAACGATGACATGGCCCAAGGCGGGACTTCGCGGCTGAGCCCCCATCCATGATGACGTATGCTCCCTGCTTTTCAGCCCAGCGCGCTACTCGGCGCACCAACGAAACTGGAGCCCGGAGCACAGAAGCACCGAAGCCAAACTCAGTGCTGGCATCGGTTGCAGCGAGCAATGGAAGAAAAGGTCGTGTCAAATCACAGCGCCAGAAAACTCCCAGGCAAAGGCTGCACGCCAGTTCTGCAAGAACACTTGGCGGAATCCCTACAACTGTAGCATCATCCTTGTCACAAACGAACTTGTAGATGGCAGTTGGTGCACCTGCTTGGGCGAGGCACGACCTTGCGCGTGCAGGAACAGGAAGGTTAGGAGCAGGGCAAGCAACCTGCCAGCTGGAATGTCCAGGTAACACCCACTCACCAAATCCACGCCCACGCATGTAGCACTTAGCTGGTCATTGACATCCTTCTTGGCATTGCGGAGCGCACCTTGAGCTGTCATCTCATCATCAAAAGCACGTGCTGCTTGAAGAGTGACACCAGGCCCAGCGTTGCTGAAGAACATCACATCATCCGTTGCCACTGCTGCCACGGACCTGAAAGAGCTAGGTGTCTCACAATCGCAAGCAAGCAAAGAACCTTCCTGGATTCCAGCCCTGTTGCAGATCATGAGCATGACCTCTTGAGCGATGTAAGAGGACCAAGCAAAGCCCATCGGCCACACGTGATGAACCGGAAAAAGCTGTCCCTCGCACCAGTCATGTCCAGTCTCCATGTAAAGAAGCTGCTCTTGGCACGACATACCGGCCTTGACCAGCTCATCAGTGGAGATGGGCGGCTTTGCCATGTACTGTCGCAGAGAAGAAGGGAGTGCTAGCTGGTCGAACCAGCAGGAAGCATCCCGCTTGCTGACACGTAGAGGTCGGTCCTTGGAGCACTCCAGAAAGGAGAGAGCAGTTGGGGAAGCAAGGTGTCGCGGCGCGGGTGGTGTCTGCGCAGCTTGTGACACGCGTCTCCCATGCCACACTTCACGAAGGCGATTGCCACCAGGCTTCCCCACAGTGAAGGAGGTACCGCCACCAGCACACGACCTTGCCAAGCCGAGCTTTCCACAGCGCAACTGCAAAGCGATCAGCTTCGCGTACTCCTTCCGTGCTCCTGCCGAAAACCCCTCAAAGCTCGCCAAGTCGCAAGGGGCAGTTTGAAACATGGACTCTGCACGTGTCACCACATCTTGCACTTCTGCCAGCAAATGTGGCACAGGGTCGCAAGCAGCGGCAATTGAGAGGTTGTCCACCCTGTCCGCCTCCAACTCTTGGAAGGTGGACGGCGCAGGCCTTGCCGTCCACGGAACAAAGTCGGGCAGATGATGTTCCCACGAACCCGGAACCACATCTTGCAGCCTGCCAAGTGCGCCAAGCACCCGGTCAAGGACCAACTCGATGACACTCTGTTCCGCAAGGTTAGCAGCCTGATCTAGATGCCTGGAGCCACACATCAGCCATTCACATTTACACAGTTGATGCTGACTCTCATCTGCCTGCACTGGTGCTGACGTCTGCAACACTTCCAGCAGAACAGTTCGTTCATGAATATGGGGTTCAACCCAGAATCCTCAGAAACCTCCCACAGGAAGTCTCCCTGCCTGCAAGCTCCCCAAGCCGGAGGCCTCTCTCGAATGCAGCAATCGTTTTTGTCGAGGGTGTAGGGTTTAGAGTGTGGGTTTAACCCTAATCGCTGAACTTGAGTGATGGGCTTCGGGCTTAGCTTGCGGTTAGGGTTGAAGCGGGTTATGGTGCCAACCCTTGCGGCTTTGCCCGGTCCTTTCTTAAAGAGAAATGAACACTTGGAACATCAGCATACCCTACCTCAAGGCCTAAAAAATGGAAAAACGGCATTGATCCTCCCCCAAATGCTCGTACTAGTATCACAGCTATCATTATCTTACTGTTATTACTCTTATTTTATTGGTTATTGCTATTACTACTATTACTCTTATCATGATCTATTACTCTTAGTGATATTATTACTACTATCATTATCTTACCATCATTACTCTTATTCGTTCGTTGCCTGCCACTGCTATCACTATTGTACGCCACAGGGATGCGGGCCTTGGGGAAGATGCACAGGACAAGACCATGGCATGGACAGCAGTTGCGTCCGAAGATCCTGCAGGGAAAGTGATGCCTCTTAGTTAGGTGGACCCCAAACCCAGTAAGAGTGACTATAAGGGATAATAGGGAATTATATAGAGGTCCTCTTATGTTCTTATTATGCCACTATTACAGGGGGGGGGCTCTGCTGCCGTGTTAGCTAGAAGCACTCCTGCAAATGTCTCATACAAAATCCTTCACGAGGATCTCTCATGATGCCTGCGCCATCACCCGAATAATGTCACTGCACTCAAGCATGCCGAGGACAAAACTGCCCTAAGTTTTGAGCATCGTTCTGTTGGGATCCTACCTTTTGGGGCAAAGTGTCTTGCTGAAAACTCATGACTACCACAGCTCACGCAGATGTCCCAGTGAAACTTGACACTTCAATGCGGTACTCTCACAATGCTCTGCAACCCAGTGCTCTGGGGTTTACATACGAGCAGCATTCAGTCTGACGAGATATCTGTCTGTATTTGAAAGCCACAAACTGGAAGTCCATCCCCACATGGAACCGTTGCTATTGCTAATTACTCCACAACTATATGATGGGAATTTCGCGAGAACACAGCATACAGTTTGAGAAACGACAATATGAAGGTGAGTCAAACCAACCCCCATGTAGGTGAAAGACAAACGCAATCCCATACCCTAAACCCGTAAAAGTGCGTTTTTGAGGGGTTTAGGATTGTAGGGGAGGGGTTTAGGATTGTAGGGTTTAGGGTTTAGAGGTTCAATTCTGGAATTCCCTTCTGGAAGCCCCCAACCAATGCCCCAAACATTCAATCCCGGCTCCGAATCCCTGAATCTGAGCCCTGAACCCTAGACATGCCTCAATAGGTCTGAACAGGCCTAAATGAAAAACTGCACAAATCAGAGGTCCCATGTTGAGAGCTCCCATAAACAGGATTATATTATGTGGGGATTGGCATGGGCAACCCAATTTGTGGAAGCCCCATATCAATCCAAGTCGCTGAGAGGCCGTCAACGCCAAGCTCGGGATGGACGCTCAGCAGCCAAGCCGTGCAGAAGAAACGCACCTTGCGAAGGAAATGTAAGTTGGGGTTTCAAGTTTTGAGAAGGGTTCAAGTAGGGTTTAGGGGAAGGGCTTCCAGCTTCCATTTTGCCTTCCACCCTCTTTGTCATGTGATTCTCCATTATTCGAGAGCTAGAGTTTGGGGCTTAAGGGGATTGATGTGGGAAATGCTCATCCTAGAAATCTGAGCCAAATGCCTGACCCAAAAGTCTAATGTGGACCCCTGATGAATAGACCCCTTCCTTTTGAGGGCCTTTATGGAAGGAGGTTCATTCATCACGGGTCATCACGCAGATCTGGCCGGTAAGAACCGTTGAGAATCCAACGCACTTCATGCAGCGATCCCTACGTAGCCATACGTCCTCCGTCAAGAACGACACGATGCAAAACATGTAAGGGCTTGGTCTAGGGTTTAGGGTACTACAAGCATAGTTGCGATTTTTGGCCCTCCCACATCCTTGCATATCCTTCCTTGATAGACCACCGTCCCGTGAACAGGATTTTTGGGGCTTGGAGGGTACAACAACAGAAAACCATGATCAAATCTAACCTAGCCGCCCTAACCCGTGAACCCTGCCTGTAACCCTACATCCTAAACCCTAAACCCTAGTAATCCTAAACCATCACTCCAATATTTCCCTTCTTGCTGCGGCCGGAAATCCATGGCAGAGCCAATCCACTGAAGTTCGCTCTCTGGCGCCCCAAGAGGAACTTGGAAGCCGTGGCCATCCTTCCACGATGTTGGAGCTTGGGGGTCTGGGGTTTAGGACTAGGATGAAGGTATACAGTCGTGCTAAGGTAACTTGGTGAAGCGATACCATAGGGCTTGCATACCAATTCTGAAGAGATACACCTGGTTTTGGAGGTTCATGTTCGCACCTTGCACTGAAGATAAAACAGATTGGAATCTCTTCTGCAAACCAGCAAAACAAGACCAGACTGTGTCACCTCTGTAGGTTTAGGGTTTAGAGTTTAGGGGTCTCGGGTTTAGGGCGGTTTAGGGCTCATTGCATAGAACCTCCTTCAGCATATTGGATGGCTACTCTGCTTCCGAGACCCTTACGCTTGTTACTTCCTAAGCACACAACTTGGTTCGTCAATCTTGTTTCCTAAAAGCTGCACCAAAAAGCATCAACAAGTCTTCTAAAAGTTAAACCCTCAACCTCAAATCCTGAATCCCAATCCCCGAACCGTGAACCCCCAAACCCCAAACCCTCTCCCCCACTCCTGAGAACCGAACCACGGCAGCTTCCGCAGAAGCTTTGCAGCCATTGATAGTCCTCCTTAGGCCAAGGAAGTGGAGGCAAGGTGCAGAGGGTTTTGCGTTCAGGGTTTAGGTTTGAGGGTTCGGGGTTTGAGGTTCGAGGATATACGTGACCCGCGCGTTTTCAAAGGTAAAGGTTCAGGGCTTAGGGTTCAGAGGTGTAGAGACTCGGGTGTCCAAGGCTGATTGTCGATGTTCTCGAGTTTTCTGCTTGGGTGAGCTTTTGTTTCTGGTCCTTCTTCGCAATCTTGAAGACTCCGAATTTCTGCCGGTTGTTCAACGGTCGTTCTCTCTTCAACCTAGATTTGCACCAACAATTCGCTAAATCTCCCATACTACCCCCGTCAATTTCCCCTCAAAAAGATTGTTCCAAGCTAAATAGGTAGGATAAGCTTATTCAAGGGACCTTGCTGGGGGAAGTATGGGCGGTTTGTCAAGCCCTGTTTCGGGAGCCTGCCACGCAACTTTCACTAGTGTTATCCAGGCCGTGTTCCCAGAAACAAATTAGAGTGGCTCACGACCGTCTGACCCAGACATAGCCACCAGTCAACTCAACAGAAAGCAAGGGTTCATCCTCAAATGATGTCTCACCTGATGCAGAATGTACTGATAATTCTGCACAAGCCCGTGCACACAACCTATTGTCCTGGACTATTCGCCCATTCTTGGGTTAGAAGGACGAAACTACTATCCTTTGAGGTAAGAAAAATCACGCATACAGCAAAGGCATAAATCACATCATGATTGGGTGCCACTTCTTGCCCCGAACAGAAATCCAAAACCAGCACGCTGAGAAGGAAGGAGTCCCACAACCACCAGCGCGCCCAACAGGGCTTCCATGGCATCAGCCGGGGCCTGTGAAAGGGCACTTTCAAGCTTCAGAAAAATGGGTAGGGCATCATTTGAGCTGCGACCAATGCAACTCGTATATCTAATGGGCTGGGCGTCTTCCGTGTCTGATCGATACAGAAATGGCACCTAAATTTTAGAGACTTTGCCGCTTCCCGGCCAACGTTTTGAGACCTGCAGAGGGTAGCATTTACGAATGTACTACAGACCTCTTCATGTTACGCAGGGCCGTTAGTCACAGTAACGAAGCCACCGTCTGCTCATGGCATGCAAAATATTCACAGTATCTCAGGCGCCAACCAAGCTTCAAGGCAGCCTTTTCCTCTTCATATACTGCCCCATGTGTTTACATGGAAACCAAAGCGTAGAGTATTGCAGACGTGTGGGAAGCTATGGGACAATCAAAAAATCTTGTAAGCCATCCAGATTCCCATATGGGCATTTCCCAGATTATGGGTCCTGTTACATATCCCGACAGGCTACAGCCCTAACTATGGTGGGAATCCCAACAAACATGCTCACAATTGTTGAAAATGCCATATGATTCTGACAGAGCCGAGCGCCTTCTTTCCCAAGGCCACCACTTTCGCTCCACGGGAGCCGAAGGGTTCTGTCCAGTCCAGCGCGGCAGATTGCAAGAAGAGCTTGGGTTTTCGCGGATTTGAGGTGTGGGGAGCCTCCAAAACACCCCTGTCATCTGCCTGCAACAACATTCCGGAGCCGAAAGAACTTAAACAGGTTTCTTGTTTAGATTGTGCTTCGAATGGACAAGACAGTTCTTGGGATCAATCAAGCTCCTGTATTCCGGGCGTGGAACTCAACTTGAGGCTAGGGCCCTATCGTTTTCGGAGCCGCTTACTTGATATAATCCCCTGGAAAACTGGACTCTTCCTGCACAGTCTCCACATTTTTGTTAGGACTTCCCAAAAACGCCGTAGAGACTTAAATCTAAGGCTAGCAAGTTCAAGCCTTCAACCACCGGCCAACACCGAGTCCTGTTGCCAAAGAGTGCTGCAGCTCCAGCGACGACAATGCGATGTGAGCAAGGCACCTTCTCATGTGAACAGTTTGCTAGAGGGCAGGCGGTACAAGTTTGAGGTTTAGTGTTGGCGGAAGTTGGATCGCGGCTTGCTATTTGAAGCCCTCGTGGGCTACTGGCTTTGCAGATTTGGGAAATCACAAACTCAGAGTTTGCAGCCTGACGACTCTATGAGGAGAGAGCTAGCTGGACGGGAAGATTCTCATAATAAGATTGCCGTGGGGCCCTCAACGTATGTTTTGTGGTGTTGCAAATTGATTGTGTGGTGTCCTGAGTAAAGAAAACAAGGATTGCTTTGAGAAACTCCCAAACTAAGATGAGGACTCCTCCAGCATACGGTACTCAGACATCTTGGCAGATGGCTGCATAACAACAAGGAAAACAAATGTAGCCGCGATAATACCCCCAAGAGTTGCAAGTAACAAGTACAATTGCAAAGACAATCACAGCACATGTGCATCAGCATGTGCTCTAGGCAGGAGCATTCCATGAACAAAAAAGCAAAACCTGTGACAGCTGCCACGTCAGGATATGGAAGCAAAGCAGTGGCCTGTTTGAGATCAGTGCAGCCACACGGCGCTGACGCTCTTGAAGAGGAATGTGAGCCTCTTTGCTGGGCAAAATAGACGCTTCCACTGTGGGAAGTTCAGTCTTTTCAGGGGATTGTCTACGCGTTTTATCATCTGTCGTGCTTTCCGGATTCTTTTCCAGACTTCTTGAGAGGGTGTTAACCAAGCTTTGTCTGGCATAATGAGTGCCCTACTCCTATGGCACGGTGAACTGGCACCCTCAGTTGGCACACATGCAACTAAGCAGCGACACGTCAAAAGAAACACCCGTCACATGGTCAATGATGAAACCAAGAACCCTACATCCATAAGCCCTGAAACCCTGAAACGCCCCTCTGCGCCTCATCCAACGTCCAGGCCGTGGCAATCAAAAAGACAACCTGATCTGCGTCGGGGTTTAGGGAGGTTCTCCAAACCTAGGCCTCCTGGGCCTCTTTAACGGCTTGATACGGATGTAGATAGTTAGGGCATTAAAGGGTGTGCAGGAGTCTGCAGGTAGTAGCCGTGCATGGAGACAACAATATGAAACCCCCAAAAGCCTATAATCCTTACTTTAGGGGCCCCAACAAGGGGACCCCTAATTTTGGGAAACCTGAAATTCTGGAATTTGTGAGGATGCCTTGATAATCTTTCTTCTGGCGTAGGCACCCTGCCAAGCATTAAAAATGTCCGTAGATACCTTCACCACTATATACACCCCCTTTTATAACGCTACAAACCTGACTAGGAGCAGGGTTGCAAGAGTACGAGTCCCCCTTATGTCCGTCAGCAGGGCCGTGCAATACGCAAAGACTCTGCATTATATCTATGGAGTCCAACATATAGTTGGATATAGTTGGTTTTCAACTTTCTGAACAATACATGATCTGAACTCGAAACATCGAATTTTTCCTTGAGTGATCAAGCAGCTTAGCCGTGAAATGAGAATGCGGCAGGATGTGGATCTCGGCAGATACCATACCCTATTGCCGGCACCCGCGGACTTTTCCGAATGAGCAGCATACCTGCTCGGAGTGTGAAGCCTTGCCAAAGCACACTTCATCAAGTCACTAATCCTGCATCATGTAACCCCAACCCAGCCATCTAAACGCTCCGCTCACATCCCCTTACACATCTCTGCAGCAAAAGCGCCGCATCGCCCAGCCAAGCCAGCCGTGTCAAGTCGTAGGGTTCCTCGAAGAAAGGCTCATAAAGTCTGTGGTAAAGGGAGCTCAACAGCAGACACCCTGCCTTCGAGGAACTACAGGATCTTCAAATCGATAACACACGCCTTCTACCACCCATACCCAAAAAACCGGACGAGATCTATGAAGTTGAAAGAATCCCATGTCAGCCAGATAGCAGAATGCAATAACAAAAGATTGTATGGGGAGCACTTTGGAAAATTTCCATAATATGGCACTCCAAAACATACACAAAACTGGGCCCAGCACTGAGGCACTCGTGAACGTAGTCGCGACTTCCAGGATCCAATCAACCTCCACCTGAGCCGTCGGGACCTCCACGATACGGGAGTTCCCCATAATCTTCAAGGGGCATCCCCGGAATTCACCCAAAACCTGACAATGTATCCCGTTGGTGCTTAAAAAAATGCCCTTTTTCCGCCCTTTAAACAACCAGGTTCTTGGCAACGGCAATGATTTCTGCACTTGATGACGGGGACAACCCTGTTGAACTCGTTCGAAAAGCAAGCCAGTCACTACCTAAAAGGCGAGCAACGACCAATTCCTTTCCGAGTTTTCTTGCATATGATTATCTAGAATTGAGAGCGGTAGCAAGCACTTTACACAATCATGCCGTTCGATGGTATCACAATTCTATGTTCACTTTCCACAATCATCTTGGCCTGGTGCCTGCACCGTTCCCCAAACAAACGCAGAGGCTGATATGGTTCCATTGCAGAAGACTTAGTCCTTGTAGGCTGTTTTGAACTTCCATCTCAGTTTGGGGGAGTGTGGAATTCTGGACCTCGCAAGCCTACACCTGGCACGCGAAATATGCCTGTGACGATCTGCGTAACAGCCGAAAACGAAACACGGAACACCAAGAAACCATTCCTTACTGGTTCTTAGTAGGCAATATATGCGAATATAGGAATGTAATCCGTATATAATCCCCATAGAATACATCCCCGTATTCCCTAGTCACCCTAAGCCCTACACATTCCCGTATTCCCTACTAAGAACGGCCCAGTCTGGCGTTGACGCGCGCCAAAACGCGGCGCTTAGCCAAATGACCCACGCCTGCCAGTGTTTCCTACACTTGGC